AAAAGAATCTATCACTTCTATTAGCTGGAGTTGAGGATCTTTCTTTCCTAGGGACCCACAGTAGCTGGAGCAAGCCTGAAAGTTACCCCATCCAGAGTTAGAGATATCAATTCTCCTGATGCTGGAGGTGGGGGCAGAGGCAGGGGTGGGATTCTACCAGTTCGCACCTGTTTGCTAGAACCAGTTGTTAACATTCTAAGCAGTTCGGAGAACCGGTTGTTAGAAGAAATTACTGGCCTAATCCCGTAAGGCAGCTAGGAAGGAAACATTCTGGTGTTGCTTACAGAAACTGCCTCTCTGTTAACTCTTATTACATTCTTGGCAGGACTGGACTTCCTGTCTCAGGAACTTCTCTGGAGTTTTTTTCCCCCTCCTTTGCTGGTACTTTGCTTGTGTGGAGTGACCTTTCAAAGTTACAATGGCACTGAAAAAAGTGACTTATGACCATTTTTCAGACTTAACGACTGTTGCAGCATCCTCAGTCATGAGGCCAGGCGAGGAGATGCGTGCCTCGATGTGAGTGATATTGAGTTGGCCACGCTCAGCCAATAACATGACCACCAAGCCATGTCCACCCAGTCACATGACCACCAAGCCATGCCCACCACCTAAGACATGCCCACAGAACTGGTTGTTAAAAAAATTGAATCCCACCCCTGGGCAGAGGGAACTAAGTTGCAGCTGGTTTCTCCCCATCCAGATTCCCACATCCTCCAGACATTGAACCAGGACCTGAACAGCAGCATCTGCCCACAAAGGGTACTGATATATAGTTATCATTAGCATATTGAAAATAGTGAACCACTTGCCAACAGATAATCTCTCCCAGCGGCTTCATATAGATATTAAGTAAGAGGAGAGGCAAACTTAAGTTCTGAGGCACCCCAGAAACAGGGGCCTAGAGAGATGGACCTCTCCTCCCCCACCCAACATTGACTGCCATGGAGAAAGAAGAACTACAGCAGAGAAGAGTCCTCCCATGCCAATCCTCAAGGCTGCTCCAGCAAAATGGTTGATATCAAAATCAGCTGAGAGATCCAGAAGAGCCAGTGAACATGCCACCCACACCTCAAGTTCTCCAAAGATGCAGTCAAGATGCTGTCTCAGTACTCAGCCTGAATCCTGACTGAAAGGGGAGCTCATTGGGACTTATGGGTGGAGAAAAATACCTTAGGACTAGCAGTAAACTAGAAGACATGACACTTTTTGCAATCATACTTATGAAAAATGATTACAATTAATTTTGATGTCAAACCATTATTTCTACTGTTTGGTTGCAATAAATGCCTACACTCATAATTTCTTAGGTTTACTGATATATTTTAATTAAACATTAAAACACTGTATTACCTCCCTCCCTGAACAGTATTCACTTTACCTCTCCAGTGTTTTGAAGGACTGGATAACATCCTTTGCGTGGCACCATAAAAAATATACCTGAAAACAAACATGAATAAATTATAGTGGGTCCCATGGAAAAAGTAGCATTCAATTAATCATGTATAAAAACAATTAAAAGAATCTAGAAAAATGTGCCCAGACATTTTCTTCATTGTCTCAATTCAGACATTATCTGAGGGCCCTCTCTACCCAATAGGGACCAAGTCGCTCTAGAAAGGGCTGTTGGATAGCTATCAGCAAATGCAATAGCGGTGGAGATATATTGATGTTTCACAATCCTTTCTGGATGGCCAGCAGGATTGGGGCCTTTCTCAGGTATGAGGATGTGAAGATAGCCTTGTAACTGGACATGAAACATCTTGATAAAGTACTTTTTTACAGTAACTGCAATTTGTTTTTCTTCAGTGAGCCCTGTTTATGTTTTTATTATTTGCCACCCAGAATTCCAATGGTAGATGGCAGCTACATACATCTGTTAAATAAACACGTAACTGTTTCCTTTAATTGACTGCCTTTCCATATAATACCCAAAAAAAAGGTTATAGATAAAAGTTGAAAAAGGGACGTCAATGGTAAATCTAGACAAGAACATGAAGGACAAGGCTATTTCTATGATAATAAAAAGCCAAATTAGCTAAAGCAGATGTCTTTCCAGAAGTAAAGGCTAGAGCAGAGAAAGAGAGAAAGGAAATAGAAAATTATTGATTAGTACACATTTTTATAAGAATATCACAGACTGCAAGAAAAACAACATCGAAGTCCTTGTCAGGTTGCCCTCCACCATCACTTGCTGCCTACCACAATCCTGAGAGGGAGGAGAATGTGGGGGGGGGGCAGAGAGAGGGAGGAGAAAGGGAGGGGCTGTTCTAAAGGAGGACAGATGAGGGAGACCAGCCCGGACAGGAAGTCTGGGATACTTTTCTTCCTATCACAAGAATGCTGGGTTGTGCCTCTTTTTTAGAAACTATTTTTGTTATCAAACATTTTTATTAAGTTATATATCAAACATTTTTACTGAATTATATATCAAACATTTTTATTAAGTTATAAAGTGTTAGAAAATACAAAAATAAATAAAAGAGCAGCGAGAGGGGAAGGGAAAAGGGAAAGAGAAGTGAGGAGTGTTGTGCACAGTGCAGGTAAGGGGGCAGAGAGGGGGGCAGATTGCATGTGCATGCGCAGGGGGCGTGGGGGGACGCACACATGGCCTTCTGGGTGCTGGCATGCGAGTGCTGGCGCATAAGCGTGCGCACAATTTTTGGCACAGGAGCCCAAAATAGTTAGCCACCACTGATCTAATCTATAAAACGCAAAGTCAAAGTTACATTCTTTTCCACATCAAGCACAAAATACAGAAACAGTTTCCATGTGGAAACAAAAATACTGTCAGCCTCAAGAGATATTCATCCCTAACTATCAAGATATCTTCACCCCTAATTATTGCTTATTTGTTGCTATGCTCTTTACCTCTCTTTCGGCTGTCATGAAACGGTGGGAGGGGGGAATCTTGGAGGGGAAGAAGGCAGGAGGT